CGCAGCCGCGATAACGCCGGAGCTGAACTCGATGAACCGGGAGGTTTCAGCGTGACCTTCGTTACTCTTTATAGTCTGGTATCTGTTCTCGCCCGGCTCTGGGTTTTCCCCTCGCCGTCTAACAAGTGGTTTTGTTCTTTGCGAAGGGGCGGTGTGGAAATGGCAGTTTTTTGCTCACGTGAGGTCCTGGCGTGCCTTACCCAGGCTCTTTGCTCCTCGCCATCGGGGCACGGCGAAACTCGTGCTCTTCATGACTTTTCCCAGGCCAAGGAGCCAGAGAGGCCGCGGGGTGGAATCGGCACGCTGAGGCAGAGGAGAGTTGGGCACGAACATAAAAAGCTCTTGTCAGAGGGTTAAATAACCCTTGAAGACTCTCAAATAGTTCACTTTAGGTAGATGTAAAATACTTCCCTGGATACAGAAGGTATTCTTTCAGGGCTGATTTTCAGGTCTGCCAACAACTAACTCAGAAAGTAACATGAGCTTTGGACTGACCTGAGCCATTTTTTATTTCCCCATCTCATTCTGTCCACAAAACTAAAAAGTGAGATTTTAAAAAAAAAAAAATACTGATTTCTTCAAGTGAACACACAGCCAAACCCACTGACGCAAAAGCCCGCGGCGGAAGCCAGCCGTCTCCCGTCACCTTTTGAGCACAGCTGCCTTTCAGCACAGGACCCTTCTGGAGTCCGGGCGAGTGTGTAGACACACGCACGAGCGTGCACTCCTCCAGCTCTAGTTTGGGTTTGCAATGTTATTTCTGACAAGCCGCTGGCTGAAGGGCAGGAAGAGCCAGGTCCATGTGGGTCTTCGCGTTTTCCTCCATCGCTTCTTCCCAGGTTCCTTGGGTTCCCCCACCCACGTGCCTTCCATCCAGGCTGGGTGCAAGGGGAGCTCGGAGCTCGGATAGTCTGGCCCCGGCATCCGCCCACTCCGAGCAAGCCGTGTGCTCACCAGGAAGGTTGTACGAAGCGACATGATGGGAATTACCAGGATGGGGCCGCGAGGGCAAAACCACATCCGAGGTGGGAATCGGCCATGCTTGCCCTGGAAGAGGCTGTGGTCCCCACAGTCCCCACCGTCCCAGACTGGGGCTCTGCTGGTCCTTGGCCAAGATGTCGCCCCTGGGATAGCGCCCGTAGCACCGCTGCCTACCATGGCCCCCGGAGCTGCAGTTTCTGCCGCTGTTGACTGAACGTTTCTGGAGCACGTAGGAGCAAACTGCGAGGATTTGCTTAGTGAGTGTCAGCGAGCGAAACACAAAAGGCCTGTCAGGGGGAACTGCTGGGTAATTACTATAATTTACAGCCTACATTTTAATTTTCAGCATTATTTTTTCAACAATAAGGGAGCAGGAATAATATCCGAACCAGGTGAAGGGAGAGAGCTGAGCCCACCGGGAGTGGCTGATGCACATGGACTTGCTGCTTTGTGCCGGAGACTTGAGTTTCCCCGGCTGGACCAGAGGGGATGGCACCTCTCAGGGAGCAGGGAGGCTTCCCATCCCCTCCCAGCAGTCAGGCAGGATCAGAGGGTGGGGACACAGCACAGAAGGAGGGTTGTGGTAGGAGGGACAGGTCCAGGCAGATCTGTGGTCAGGGCATGGAGTGGATGTTTTGCAGCTGGTAGATGCGGTGCTCCAGCGACCAGCTCCTCCAAAGGGGAGACTTGGGAGCTGAGGGTCTCCAGCCGGGGCCAGCAGAGTGGGGAGATGGCACTGGAACTGAGCTGGCCGGGGGTCTTGAGTCCATACCCACACCTCGTTTGGTGGCACTGCCTCCCTCCAGAGAGGTGGTGTGATGGGGAGTTTTGGTGTAAGCTCCCGTGTAGCCACGGGGCACACCAGTGGCATGCTCGTGTCCAGCCACCAAAGGACAGGTCCAGCGGGAGCACGGCGGGCTAATCCTGGCCTCGCCTTCCCAAGGAAGGGCAAGCATCCCCCGCTGCCGTGGCGAGAGCACGCTGAGCCAGCTGCCTGCGCGACAGTCCCTCCGGCAACGCCGCCGGCGCCTGCGGGGACGTGGGCTCGCTGCCCGCGCACTGTCCCCGACG